TTCGCCGTCTCCATGGCGCAGCGGGGCTAGGCCGAAGGCCCCTGCCAGCTCTCAGAAAAACCTGCCCCTGCACAAACCAGGTCCGAGCCCCGCGCAGCTTATATAGCCTCCCCGCGGCCTGCTGCACATTGAGAGGTTCGCTCCCTCTCCGCCCCTCTCTGCCCTGCTCGCCGCATAAACAAAAAGGCTGCGCGTGAAGGCGAAACGGACTGAACCCGGGTGTGAACGCGTGCAGCTCCCAAATGGCTCGGGAAGGGGTTTGTCGAGCGAGTGTTAATCGCTCTTCACACATGGCTGCGGAGAGAAAAACAACATTCGCCCGAGCAGCCAATTTCCAAGTGAAAAGATTAGGAGGGGATAAAATTAAGTGATTCTACACGTTTTGTGTATTTCTGCAAATGGGCCAAGTGGCTGGTAATTAATGCTTGACTCGCCCAAGTCTCAGGACTTTTTGGCCTTTGGCAAATGAAACTGGTTCTGCACCCCCTATTGTAAAAATGGGATGCGAATAAATGAAAAAGAATGCCCTTAACTTCTCTTGCCGGCATAATACAAGATGGGTGAACTAATGGACTCCTTATAAAAAAAATCTGTGTTCATACAGATTGAAGATAATACAAAATCCAGAAGAGATAAATTGTACAACCTTGAATGTTCTAGCCAAGGCCAGAAATTGGAGTCGTGATTTTCCCCAACATATTATTAGTCCCCTGAAGATAAGTCTTGAGTTTTATATATAGAATTCTTGGCAGTTTGTCACTCAATGATAATTAGAACATTATTTTGTGGGGGCAGAGTATGTATAGAATGACGATATCTTGAAAAGTTATGATATGGGGCAAGTTAGTCAACTTCTCTGTGACCCATTTCTCTTGTTTACCCCTCACTACAGAGGTCCCTTAAATGTGATAAATAAGAGTTGTGCTTCAAAGGAAAGATGATATATAAATGCCATATTTTTTCAAAATGTTTTAAATATTAGAGCTGACTTCCTCTTAAAAGTTGTAGATAAAAAATACACTTTGAATGTAAGTATAGTGTCTCTGCTATTCATTCAGTTACTCATAGGAAAAGAATCCATTGGATTAATATCTAAGGCCTATTAGGAAGGTGAGATACGGTTTGCTTCATATAATGAAATCTGTAATGATAGGTACTTAATGTCTGTCTCAATGCCCCAGAACAGTGATTTTCAACCTTTTTCATCTCATGGCACACATAAACTACTAAAATTTTACAGCACACTAATAAATATATTTTTTTGCCAATCTAACAAAAAAATAGGTCTAATTTTGATTCATTCACACCAGATAGCTATTGTTGTGTTGGCTGTTGTCTTTTTTTTTTTTTTTCAATTTGACAATCTAAAGATAAAGAGGTCAGTGCCTATTTAGTCAGGGGCACTGACCTCTTTATCTTGCACTCTATTAACAGATAAAAAAACATCAAATCATCTGACCTGACTTTCCTCCTATATTCTCTGTTGCCTTATCTTTGAGCCATCACCATCTCTACCCACTTCACCAGGCCAGAAAACCTGGGGGCATATGTAATCTTCACTTTCATGTCCATCCACATTTTATGATTTGGCTAGTTCTGTAGATTTTATTCCCTAAGTATCCTTCAAATATATTCATTCTTTTTTATTATTGCAGTACACCAGTGTGCCATGGCACATGGGTTGAAAATCATGGCCCTGGAATTATAGCATACTTACTATGGTGCCTAACACATAGTAAACTCTCAACGAATTTTAAGCTATTTAATAAAATATAGGCCTTTACCAAATGTTGAGCTATTTGATCAAATGGCCTGTTGTTTCAGTTCTGTAAACATCTTTTGAGGAACCTGTAATATGCTAAGTACTGTGCTTTCCAGATATAATGGTGAATAAGATAGCTCCCCTCTCTGTAAGAGGATATGGTCGTCACTATCTATGGTCATCACAATAGCCACATAAGCAAAAGTTTTTAAAAAGTACCATATTAAGTAACAAAAGCACATTTTACTCAGAGAAGTGGCACAAGGGAGGAAATACTGTAGCTATGTCTGTTTGGGACAACCACAAAAGCCTTCTTAGAGTAAATGGCACGTAAGTTGCAATTTCTAGAAGTTGCAATTTCAGCCAAGAAATAGTACAGTATGTGTGTATGTGTGTGTGTGTGTGTGTGTGTGTGTGTGTGTGTGTGCGTGTGCAGGGAGGGAGGAGAAGGAACAGTGGTTCTAGGGCTAGGTATGGCTAGAGCAGAGATGTGGTTGAGGAGATAGAAAGGACTTGGACTATTAAGAGCCTAGTATGCCATGCCAAAGCATTTCAGTTTGATTCTGTAAGTGCTGGTGAAGATTTTAAGCAGGAGAGTGGAATGATCAAATTTTGCATTGTATGAAAATCACTCTGGCAGCCCTATGGAAGATGGACTTAAGGAAGGCTGATAATAGAGACAAAGAGATCATTTACAAAGTCAGTGCAATATTTCAGGCAACAGATGAGAAGATAGATATTAAGGATATACTGTACATGAAAGAACATATTTGAGCCCTATCCGGTTTGGCTCATTGGATAAAGTTGTCAGCCCTCGGACTGAAGGGTCCTGGGTTCAATTCTGATCAAGGGCATGTTCCTCCATTGCAGGCTGATCCCCAGCCCTGGTTGGGGTGCAGGGGGAGGCAACCAATCCATGTGTCTCTCTTACATTGATGTTTCTCTCTGTGTGTCTCTCCCCCTCCCTTCCACTCTCTCTACAAATCAGTGGAAAAATATCCTCAGGTGAGGATTTAAAAAAAGAATGAATATATTTGAAGGATACTTAGGGAATAAAATCTACAGAACTAGCCAAATCATAAAATGTGGATGGACATGAAAGTGAAGATTGCATATGCCCCCAGGTTTTCTGGCCTGGTGAAGTGGGTAGAGATGGTGATGGCTCAGAGATAAGGCAACAGAGAATATAGGAGGAAAGTCAGGTCAGATGATTTGATGTTTTTTTATCTGTTAACTAGAGGCCCAGAGCACAAAATCGTGTGCAGGTAGGGTCCCTAGGCCTAGCCTGCGATCAGGGCCATCTTCCTCCTGCTCGCCAGTCCCCAGCCCTGCCCCACCACCACCCACCCTGGTTCCCCATGGTCCCCATTCACCATCCTGCGATTGGAGCCTGTGGGCCAGGGGGAGGGACCAAGAGGTGGTCAATGCATCTCATAGTGACTGGTCAAACGGTCACTCTGGTCATTACACTGTTACGGTTGCTGGGCTTTTATTATATAGGATAGAGTGCAAGCAAAAAATTGATGAATTTGGTTTTGGATCTTGGATCAGTCAGCTCAGGCTGGGCCATATGGCAGTAATAAAGAGCTCCAAAATCTCACAGGCTTAACTTAATAGAGGTTTATTTCTCACTCATGCTATATGTCCAGTTTTGGTTGGTGGGAGATCTGCTGCACCTCACCTTCACATAAGGATACAAGCTGATGGAGCCGCTTTCCTCTGCAGTGGTGCCACTTGCCATAACAGGAAGATGGGAATAAAATTATGTGGATGCCAGTTTTTAAAGGCTTCCGCCTAGAAGTGACACACATCACCTCCAATATTTTTCACTGGCCAAAACAAGTCATCTCACACCTAATTTCAAAGGAGCAGGTACACATTTCCACCATGTAACCAGAAAGAAGGGGCACCGAAATAAACAGCATAATCAGAGTCCCATAATCTGCCCCTCTGGCTACCAAGTATTTAGTTAACTTCCCTTCTTGAATGTAAAATACTAAAAAGAAAGGAACCCAGAAGTGATCTAATAGATTTTAGAAAGCTTGGTAACACATAGGTGGAGAAGGTACCCAGGGGACAACCAGAAACATAAGATCTAGAGGTCAGCAGGGAGTTTAGGGCTAAAGATTTACATGTGGGAATCATAATAGACTAGGTGGTAACTAAAACTGTAGGAATTGATTGGTTTTCCCAGAGAAATTTTTGTAGCTTGAAAACAGAACCAAGTACAGAGCTCTGGAGAGCAACACTTAATTGTAAACTGAGAAAGTATGCAAAATAAGTCAATAAAATAAATAAATAAAACAATAAAACAACTATGATCTCACTGAAAAGGAATGGTGAAGGTGGTAGAAGGTACATTTGTGGAGCAGGTGTGGTGGAAACCTGGAATGAAAGAATTCCAACAAGGAAGGAAAGGTCCAAGACATTAAGTGCCACCAAGGGGTCAACAAGATAAGGATATGTGTTAATTGAATTTGGCAATTAAGGAGTTTAAGCGACTTTAAAACAACATCTTGCTTGTATTCGGACAGGAGGACAGGAGCTTTTTTTTTTTTTTTTTACAGTATGTTGAACTGTTGAGGTAAATAAATAAAAACAAAGTTTGCTACCCATTTGAGGGGAAAAAAGAGTCAGAAGGAGAATTCTGAGTCAATAGAGGGTTTTTTTTTAGGGTACAAGAAAGGATAAGATGATGAGAGGAGGCAGGAGAACAGAGCCTCTAGAGCAGTGGTTCTCAACCTTCTGGCCCTTTAAATACAGTTCCTCATGTTGTGACCCAACCATAAAATTATTTTCGTTGCTACTTCATAACTGTAATGTTGCTACTGTTATGAATCGTAATGTAAATATCTGATATGCAGGATGGTCTTAGGTGACCCCTGTGAAAGGGTCGTTCGACTGCCAAAGGGGTCGCGACCCATAGGTTGAGAACTGCTGCTCTAGAGAGAGGGGACTGGATGATGGCTTATGGTCCCCTAGGAGGAAAGAAGAAATGAGGTTAGTAGCCCTGAGGAAGATTCTCATGCAGTCGGAGAATGTGCATTAGTGATATATAATGACCTATATATATGAAAGCCTAAGCGACCGCCCAACCGTCAGACTGTC